GCAGAGCTGGTTACAATCGGGTCCTTCAGATCTTCTTCCGTCATACTTTTTAATTCATCTTTTCGTGCAATAATTTCCTTGAAGTACTCCTCGCTGCAAGAAAGAAGAAACGGACAGAAAGAAAAAGTACATCTCCAGTTGCTGAAGCTGTTCACGTCTAAATCCTTGCGTAAGAACAATCTAACAATTCAAATCCAAAGAACCAAGCTTACCTGAAGGCGGCCTCGTTCTCTGTTGCTGGAGGAGCTAATTCACAGAAAAGCACAGACGTTGTTGGTACGTCTGGTCCTGACTTTGAGTACGTGTCTACCGCAGATTGCGTTTTGACACAATTTGCAACAATGCAGCCAATTTTAGTGCTCTCGGCTCCGAGAAGGTGCATGACGTTGCGAGCCTTTTCCTTCTTCCATATATCTGTCCACGCCTTTGTGTCGTTCGGATATGTGTCGCTGTTAAAGAAGCATTAATGAGCAGTGCAACACAACGCGAATGTAGTGAATTGGGGACGGATGAAAAGAAAGCGGTGAAGATAGCGTGAGAGGTATGCTAGGTATCAGGGTTGTCACTGGCTTGCAAATAAAGCATATGAAAGGTGCCTATAGCGAAGATGAATATCCATACCTGAATTCTGCCAGCCCGCTTTGGAGAGCCTCCTGCACCAGTGCACGGTAGTCTGGATCAGCCGCGTAACTGAAAGTGTGATAGAAGATCTTCTTCTGTATACCAAGGTGAACAAAACGACACAAAACAGCTTCCTTATGTTCAGTTTGCCTAATTTCTGGCGTTGTCTATAGTTTAGAGTTGCAGCTGATGCTGGCACAGCAGTATCCGCAGCAACATCATGTAAAACAGCCTTGTGTAGTTTATCCGCTTACATGCGTTTCCTCTATCAGTGTCTCGCACGTCGCCTCATCGACCGTCTTTTCGCTCTTTACCTTTCCCTCCAAGGCGGTGACGGTTGCAGTGTCCTTTTCGACTGTATTTGTCTTAGCCGAAATTTTTCCATTACGGGCCAGCTTTGCCGTTAAGTAGGCGTCTGTAGGGAACAAAAGGAGGAGAGGAATATCAATATGCAATGCACCGACCTCTGTCGCAGCCGAGTAGTTGAGCGCTCGACAGAAAACAAGAGGGAGGAAAGCACAAGGAATAAAAGAATTTTAAGGGGTAATACGCTTACCATCTTTCACCTGTACTACCTCAAATTTGTACTTCGGGGTCTCGGCTGCCGCGGATTGGAGCCCAAAGAGTCCGACCAGGCAAAATGCTGCTGCGGTCTTGTAGAATGGAGCCATTGCGACGGAAGGCAAGAAAATTTTTAAAAAAATGTTCTAGACAAGAGAAATATAAATATTCAAATTGAAGGGAGCGGAAAAGACGGCAAGCAGTTCGGAGTTCTTTGCGTGGTCCTGCAGTCGCGTGGACGGCGAATGGCAAAAAACGGGATGGCAAAGCCAAAATTGAAAACAAAAGAAAAATTAAATAAATTAATATTGAGCAAAAATAAAACAAACAGAAACTGTTGTGGGTGGCTTATCCTCTGAAATAAACCATCTAATTTAAACAAATGCAAAAAACAAGCAACACCAGAGACACGGCAGGTCGGCAGGCGCGGCAGGTCAAGTGGAGACATCTTTGTGGGTTGTTGCTTTCGCCGCGCTTTCGGGTTACGTCTA